CCCCAAAACGTCGTCATTTTCCCCTTAATCGTTTTTACGACGAAATTTCGTGTTTTATATCCCGATCGGGATACTACTTTTTTTCTATATCCTGATCGGGATATAGCTATATCCCGATCGGGATATAGGAGGTGTCCCCTTACTGGAGGTTCAGATTTAATTTGAACCGTCGATTCCTGTCGCAATTCTAAACTTCTAGAATTTAGGATTTAGTAAGGAAGTGCAGATTACGAGCAAATTTTGACAGAAAAGACCAGTGATCATCCTAGCACTTCAAAATCGTACAGAATTAGGAGCTATTCATTGAGGACATCGTCCGAGAAGCATTGCAAGAGCCCTGTCGTTTTCGTCTTGCAAGATTCTTCTAACAGAATCGTTACTATTTCTTTTTCAATGCTTTAGCATGGTGTTAACAAAACAACAGTTTGAAGAAGCAGAATATCGCTTAGAAAACGCAAAATTAACAAAATCCAAACGGCGAGAATTACGTAAACAAATCAAAAGTTATCAGTACTCTTTGAAATTTCCAGCATTTCGTCCATCCAATTTCACAATTGAATTTGTCAACAAGAAAACAACCACTGGTCAACTGGAAAATTATATTGCAGAAGCAAAAAATGCTACAATTTTGATTGACACAGAATCAATCATCAAACATGGTCAAATGAACGAACCTGCATTAATACAAATTCAGATTCTTCATAAAGGAGAATCGTCAACAATATTAATCGTCGAAATTAAACATTTACCACCCACAAACTCGAATCGACGCACATTGATACAAAAACTGTTCGACGAATGTTTAAGCAATGAATTCATTCATATGTGGGGTGAGCCGTCAGAATTGCTGCCATTTGTACAATGTGGTCTATTTACCGAAAACATATTAAACGCAGCAAACATACTTGATGAACAGAAACATTTCAAACAATTTGTCAGAGACAACTACATTCATCGTGGAAGTGATTGTTTTTGTGAACAATGTATTCATCAGAATCCCAATGATCCGTGGTCATTAATAGATGCTATTGCCAGCGCCACAGGTAAATGGTTGGATAAATCTCTCACTCTCTCTCCATTTGCTATAGGTCTTGACGCTCGCTTATATAGTCAAACACCACAGCAACAAGCTTATCGTCAACAATTAGCAACATACGCTGCTTATGATTGTCTCGCTATCCAATCATTACTACCAATTCTTTATCCACGTCCCCCATCACCGGCCTACTCATTTATTTCGATCGAAGAAGAACCAGCGAACGACCCGGCAACCACAAATGCCATTCACTTCGTTCCTTCGCCTGAAAATGGCATAGAATTAACAGTAAACGTCATTTCATCACCGGACGAAGTACCACAACCGTTTTCAGCACATCAACACCTCTCTGTCGTTATTCCATCACCGCCGTCGTCTCCACTTCATGTTCAATCTCAGCGACCAAAATTAACCGCTCAAGAATTAAAGAAATTAAAAAACAAAGCGGCTACATTTAAGCAACGTCAACGTAGATTTGCTAATCAAATTACAATTCATAACATCGACGGTCGATTTTCTTCATGGAAAATTAAACAAATATTAAACCATGCAGCAATTAAGTTCTTGGCAGTTTCGACCCCATTGTCTCCGAGTACTGGTTTAAAAATGGCTGTCATCGGAATTGCTGAACCAAACAAACTACAACAATACGAACAATTGATGATCTCAGATAATTGGTTTAATTTCGCGCATTTCGATCGTTTGTACGGGCAAAGTCGTCGTCCACCTCGTCCAGTCCTTGTTAATACACCCTACGTTCGACCACAAGATCGTCGTCTACCAGTATTATTCAATTTTGAAGATCTACCGCAGGTAGATCGTCGCGATCGAGCTGACCGCGATCGTCATCATCATCGTAATCGTCGTTCACCACCTCAACAGTCGTTTGATTCTGTTGCATCATGGTCTGTTTCGCATCTTATAAATTTCAAATCTTGACTCATTTCTTTGAGAATTGGTACCAAGAAGGATTTCATAAGGGGAAAACTCTTTCTGTAGTCAAGCAAATACATATCC